ATAAATACATTAATATAATCTACTTATTTATAGGTACTAAAACATATTTGAATGCTATCACTTTTTTAAAATAATTGAACATTTAGCCTTGTGTAAAATCAGCACAACGCTTTTTGCTTTGAATATAAAAAGAAACAAAAATATATTTACACATTTCACTTTGTCTTATAAATAATGTTTGAATTTATAAACGTTCAAGTAAGAAAAAAAGAAAGTTTTGATTCTCCGTGCAGAGCGCAGCCTCTTAGTGCATGCGTAATTGTTGCGTGTCTAAATTCCCATGAATGATGGCTTGAGTCTTGAACAAGTATATATTCTTGCAGATATTTTGTGGAGCATATTCGTTAGCTCTAATTTGCAGGGAGCGTGTTTAGGTATATTTACCCCAGAAAGTGTGTGCGGTAGGCTATTTTTCCAGCACTTAAATAATCCACAATGTGATCAATCATTAAAACAAGAGAAATTTCCCGGTTAGTCGTGCTTCGTTGTTTTCAATTCATTTTTCATTCCTTTTTTTGTATACAAAATTAGAGTGGACAGGTGTTTTCAACGATCGAAATCTCCAAAAAGTCTGCCGTGGAACCGAGTGGTAGGAAAAGTAATATGTAAAATACTTTTGATGAGCCATTAAGCCAGGGAATCAAATGTCAAGAGAAATTTTGAATTTATTTTCTCTCTGACTTCACGGCTGAGGATGGTCGCTTTCGACAAAAAGTATCAGATCACGGGAAACTTTCAATCTCTTTCTCATCATTTTCGATGCCTATAAATGTTAGGCGTCAGGAGTTCTTATTTCAGACCGTGGCCCTTTTTGCTGATTAGCTGGCGATCAAAAGAGAAATGAAATTACTACGGTGTATACTTTCTTATCAAAATGTTAAGCATAGCTGATGATTAGTCCCTTGGGACTGGTGCTCTCGAAAACCATATATTAATTTGACGTAAAATGTGAGAGAAATTAATCACATTAGACAACATGCATTTAAGAATTCATTTTTATCAATTCATCAGTGCTTTTAATTAAGTAATTAATTAACTGATGAAAAATTCGATTTCATCGAAAGTCAAAACTCCAAGACTCGTTTTATGAAAATCTAGATTTTTTTCAACTAGCATAAAGCAACGAATGAAAAGCCCTCTTAACGATGCAGTTCTGCAGCTGTCTCGAAAACAGAAATTACTGAGTTTCATGTTTTGAGACTTTTGTCGTCTAAAAATAAATTCAGTGCTCCACAGAGCACCTCCTCTAAACTATTGACTTTATCATCATTTAATTCACGTATAATTCTGATGCGTAGTGCCAAATTTGCAGCTGCAATTCTTTAACTTGGAAGGGAGAACGTGTGGATTGTGGTGCGATTGAGTTTTCGTAAAGTTTTAGAATTCCAAAATTCAGGAAACCGCAAATCATTTGATTGTATATTAAAATTGAGGTAGGTATTAGGACCAGAGTCTGCTAAGAGTAAAGATAATTCCTAATGAAAACACACCAAATTGGAGACGTCGACTACGAGAGCCGCGCTCGTGCAGGAAAATCAAAGCGAAAAAACTAACCTCAAAAGAAAAGAGATTATCAGTTAAGTATAAAAAATGAGACACTTGCAAAAGAAAAAATATATTCAGGTCTTTTGTGGGTTTGAATATATTTTTTGTGTTGTCGGAATGTCGGAAGAGACGAACGGGTGCAGGGATCGTGGGAATGCTCGCGGATCGAAAGTTGGCAGCATTGAGTTTCGCCCATTTATTTAAATGTATATCAGGCAATCGATATCCATCAAAGTAGGTTACCTCGCTTAGAATCGATTATTAACGATGGATATTGAAAACAGTGGCGAGGCGTGAAGTGCGATGTATCGATTGTTATGACATTTAAACCTACGGTAAAGAATCGATTATTAAGGTGTTTGCTGCGAACACCCTGTTTATCGATCTTTTTCCATATGTTTAAATGGCATAACAATCGATGTATCGCAAAGCAATGAAAATGAAACAGTGTTGCCAACTTCCAAGAACCGCCACTGCGCTGTATTAAAAGGGACGCGTGCTAATAATTAGAGGGCACCTTTTATTACTAAAAACGAAATTTAGAATAAGATCGCTCCCTGGCAGAAAAGAGCCTTTCTCTCATTGTATTATCTGCTTTCAAACATCGAATTCTGTCTTTAACTTACTAGCAAACTATTAAGATAGTTCCGTTGAAATTTGCCAGCTAAGAATGCTTGAAGCAACTTTGATTGGTCTCGTTACATATGACATATAAATATTTGACTTACGATTCATGCCAGTTAACTTCAATTTTACTCCTAAAAACGGTTGACCTACAGTATTTTACTCACTTTGTCCTTGGCCCTAAATAGTTTTTTTCCTTTTAGGCCATTTGATCTTATCTGAATATTTTACGGGAAGAAATTAGTAAGGATGGAAAACACTTTCCTATAAAGTTCGCTCTGTCCACTTCTGACTTTACATTAACCTTAAAAATCCAATTGTTGAAAGCGAGAAAAGAAAATTGTTTTCCACAACCCAAAATTTTTAAATAGTATGTAAATGTCTTTCAAGAGTTTTCTACGTTTTCGCTTTTAGACTAATTATTCAATAAATTTTGTATCTTATGGGCGTATGTATAAGTCCTCACTTTATTTTCGGGACTTTAACATAGCTTCTAAATGTATATAGTTCAAAGATATCAAGCAAAAGGTAAAAATGAAATTTCAACAAATTTCTTGAGATTTTCGGGGTTATTTTCTGTTTGTTTTGGTTTCTGGGAAAACATTTTTTTTTTTCAACTTTTACCAGCTATCCCAGTTTTTCAGCCTTTAAGACATCTTGCGTATTTTCAAGAAATTACTCAGATACGTTTTGAGAGGCTATGACATATAGAAATATTTGTCCTGGTTACATTTTAAAATGTTTTAATTTTTTCCATAGTTTATTGATTGGTGCGGACTTGAACGACCCAAACCTTTGCACTGTAACGATACAAGAGGCTCCCTTCTGCCTGGGAAAGAAAAACACCGCATTTCACACCGCCGTCAACCGTTGAATGATAATAGTCTGAATTGCCACTATGAAATCGATTGATTTCAGCCGATTGGTTCATCGATTTGATTTAGAATGGTCAAAATACGTCAACGCTTCGCAATCGATCGATAAAGCGTTGAATAACTTACTCGATCTTGTGATTTAAAATCAATCGATGGGTTTAAGCGATCAATAAACTTAAATGATCGAGCAACCGGTTATAAGATATTTTGAGGCGGAAGAAAAGGTGGTTCGACAAAGTGATGAAAATGTTGTACTTTGATAAATTTGACAGCATATAAAAAAGGGGCGGGCTCTGGAAATTGGGGCAGTGGCGCCTTTCGAAAAGCGTATTTTCACTCCTTACCTTACAGTCGTAGTGAGTAACAATAAATGATGATCAATCAATTCACCATTACTAATTGCAGGACGCTCTCTGTAATGGGCCTGTTGCATACGATTGATACGGTGCAGCCAATTCGATAAAATTGCGCAAAAATCACGCTTGTGTATCAGAAATACACTTCAAAACCCTTAATTTGCTCAGTCCGTATGACACATTTACAGATTCATCGTCAAAGCGTGCAATTTTTTTAAGTCGCCTAGAATCATATTTTCCGATAATACTTCCGATATAGAAAATCATACTTGAGGTTCATACGACCAAACTTTTTTTCTCAGTGTAGATTTGAAAGCGTGTGAAAAGGAATTAGCAAATGCGTTCATGAGTGCATTACAGATATTTCTGATGAGCTTACAGCGTGATTTCTGCGAGTTTTACAGAGCGGTAGTCCGCCGTGCTGAGGTGAAACGCCGTATGAACCTTCAGGCGTTGAATTCGCTTCAATAAAATATGAATCGTCAGGGAAACTACTGTACATTTTTCTCCCAAATTGTCAAAGAATTTCATTCAAAATTTAATCTATAGCTTATGAAAATTGAAGGAAAAAATTCATACATACGTATACATTTCCTGTTAAATGAATGTGTCATAGGGGGAAATCCGGCAATGTCCGGAGCAGTAGGAAGGTGTTAATGATCCATTATCGATATCTCCCCATTTGAAAACGTAGTAAAGAATCGATTACTAAAGTGTTCGTTGCGAACACCTGCGGGCCGATTATTGAAATTGATAGACAAAGCTATAGACAAAGGAGATATGGAGAGATTCTATTGGTGGAAGCGGGTGGTTGCAATGGACAAATGAGGTAGGTAATCGACTAACTAACGGCAACCCACGAGAGACCCGACAGTTAGTCTATCATTTTCTCCCTTTGTCTATAGGAACCACCCGTTTCAACCAATAGGATCGCTCCATTCTCCCTATGTCTTCTTTGTCTATAGCTTTGTCTATCAATTTCAATAATCAGGCCGCTGTTTTGTCTATCGATCCTTTTCCATTAGTTTAAATGGCAGATCAATCGAAATATCGCAAAGCACGCCTCGCCACTGCTCTGGAAGTTCGCACAGCGTTTTCCTTCGGCACGGCAGTAGAATTCTCTCTCAGTTACCATACATGAATGCAACAGGCGCCGTTACGTTGAGCACAGCGTTGCGGGAACCCGGTAGAGAATCAAAAACGAATTTCGGTTCGCGCTGGACTAAACTGAGATGGAGGAATAGAAAGTACGAAACGTTCAAAGAGGGAGTGAGAGTGGGTAACAGAATGAGTGTATGAGCGTGAGTTAAACAGTCGCGAACTCTCACCTGCGGGGCGATTGTTGAATCGTCAGCGGATGAACTCTATCGGTAAAACCCTATCTTGGCAATGTTTTTTATCGATCAAGGTCATTCGATTACGATTCGATATCTTTATCGATAAATCTCTATCTTGGCAATGCTTTCTATCGATCAAGGTCATTCGATAACGATTCAACGATCAACCCGCTGAGTATCCTCAGATTTCACGCGGCCTTCACGAGGCGGTAAAAAATATTGTGGTCAAATCGCCCGCAAGTACATAATTCAAGTTTTCATTCTTCCCGTCGACAGTGGTCAAATTTTCACCAAAAAAGTGTTCGATCCCGCAAAATTAGCTTGACCTGGCGCACACATTAATTCACTGCAGAGACTACCATTGCCCGTAACACCAATATAATCTTAGCTTAGCAATATAATCTTAGCTCTAGAGCTTCTTTGGGCTACATTCATTCGGGGCAGTGGCGTGGCGTGAATTGCGATATATCGATTGTTGTGCCATTTAAACCCATGAAAAAAAGATCGATTATCAGGGTGTTCGCAGCGAACACCTTAGTAATCGATTCTTTACCATAGCTTCAAATGGCGAGATATCGATAATCGATTATTCACGCCACGCCACTGATTCGGGGCCACTTCAGCGTAAATGCTTTTTCGCCGAATGTATCTCTCACCGAGCTTAGAGTGGCTCTGAAGTTAAATGAACGATTAAGGATGTGACCCGATAGCCCGAACGACTCCGAATCGTACTAAATTTTGCAACTAAGACCTACAATTTCTGGCTCAGTTTAGAAACAACATAAGTGCCATTAGTTCCCCTACACACATACGTGTTTTTTCGGATGGGCCAGAGATTGCAGTTCCTAAAAATTGCAAAGTGTAGTCAAATTATAAAGCTGCTAAGCCAGAATGGCGTCAAAGATCAATGTTCGATATTTCCCCATTTGAAGCTGTGGCAAAGAATCGATTATTCAGGCGTTCGTTGCGAGCACCCTGTTCATCGATCCTTTCCCATGGGTTTAAATGGCAGATCAATCGATACATCGCAAAGCGACTTCGATTCGGAACGAAAAGTATTAGGACCTGTCTACAACACATGTGTCGTCAACAGACCCTACCCTACAATGACGTGTTTTGTGCGATTATGCAAACTGATGTGTGCGAGGTTAGGCTAAACTCTAAAATTCGGGTAAACGCTTTTTTCTTCTGGATGAATCTGCTTCGGATGATAATGGCGTGAAGAAAATCACAGCCGAGACGTCATTCTGCTGAAGTAATTGGACGTATTTCTATCAAACGGAACTATGTGCATTAAGACATGAGCCCTGAGACCCATAAGAATATGTGCGTAACAGGGCTCACGTCATGATGCACATAGTTCCGTTTGACAGAAATACGTCCAATTAGCACAGACCGGGGTAGATCCAACCTTAGGTCTACATATTCATCTCACTATTACTTCAACTGCGTCGCTACGTCATAGGCTAATTGTCAGATCAAACAATTTGTCAAATCGATTATTGGATAGCTCTTTCAAAAGATCAAATCTACCTGGTCGATGGAGATCGATCTGGCCCGAGAATAGGTTGATTACCTATGTAGGAAGTGTATTGCCATGTCTATGCCGCTTCCTGATTGGCTCATCAGTTTTAGGGTTTCTATGGGGCTCATTTGGACCGATCTAAACACATTTTAGTAAGAGAAACTCGTACTAAGGGGGGGAATGAGTGATATCACAAAAAAAGTGAAATTTTTGGCAAAAATATCAGCCAAGGTTTGCACTGAGAAAGGAACTCCGGCCGTGGAAGCCGTAACCACGGGATGTATAGGCATACCGTTCGCGTTCCGGGCGTAGCACCCGGAGCAGTCGAAACCACGACTCCAGCGCCCAGAACTTTCGGCTTCTGTCTAACGGACATTACGTATATATAGCCCGTAACTCTTTTTTTCAGAGTGGTAAAGGTATCGATAAGACAAAACACCCCCTACACAGGTAATGCAGGAATGGCCATCACTTATGAGCACTGCCACGGGACGATCCGGGTGACGATCTGCGGGGCTTCAGGCGGGGCCGAGGCGGAGACCGGCAAGGAAGCTGAGGAGGAGGCGGGCGAAGAAGGCGGCGGAGGCGGGGGGCGAGGCCTATTTGTCCTCCTCGAGGAGGACGAGGTCGTCGGCGACGACGTCGGAGATGTGCAGGTAGATGATCCAGTACATGAGGTTGAAGCAGACGAAGCAGACGGGGAAGACGATGCGCGAGTACTTGTCGATGTCGCTCGGCGTGATCCCGTAGAGCTTGTTGATGTCCTTGTTCGGGTGGATGAGGTGCTGCGGGGCCGGGGTCGCCGCCTCCTCGTCCGCCCGCCCGTTGATCGTGTTCTCCAGCGTCCCGCCCTTGAAGTGCGCCTTCGGGTCGTGCACCTTGTACCGCACCTCCTGCAACACACGCCCAAGTTACCATCAACGCAATGTGTGTGTGAGTAAGCTAGAGAAAAGAGACCCTCCACTAGTATCTTGGCCATTGTGAAAGCTTTTACTTTCGGGACTTCAGCACTCCACTGTTGACTTACCTACATGGTTCATGTTCAACAACGTGTTGGCAGTTTCGTTTTGCAAACAAGCCGAAAATGGCCGACGTTTCGGAAACTTGTTTGGCTCATGACGTCATCCGAAGCTCATCATCGACCATAAAGGTAAGTCAACAGCCGAAACTAGGGTGATGACTGTTGCTCCCTAATAATTGTCCATAAGGAATTGTTGAAACCCCGAAAGTAAAAGCTTCCACCTGTCGCTAGGAGGCCAGTGGAGGGTCTCTTGTCTCTGGAGTAAGCGCGACCAAGAATGCCTATAGGGAAGAGCACGAACAGCGGGTTGTGTTTAAATCGATGGACAAAGCGATAGACAGTGAAGACTTAGTTGTATCATCAGAAGAATAGGTTCTGTTTTGGTCGAAATGGACGTATGCCAAACGGAACTATGTGCATTAAGACATGAGCCCTGAAACCCTTAAGAATATGTGCATAACAAGGCTCACGCCATGATGCACGTAGTTCTGTTTGATAGAAATACGTCCAAATATCGTTCGGTTACGTTAGGTACGGTTAGGTTCGGTTAGGTTAGATTAGGTTAGGTAAGGTTAGGCTAGGTTTATAACAACACACAAATCCGGTGGCCCCACAACTTTTGTCATACAGGACGGTGTGAGGGTGTGTGTGTGAGTGTACGTGACCTAGAATGCCTATATGGGGAAGAGCAAGGGCAGCCGGTTGACTGTTGAAATTGGTAGCCAAAGCTATAGACAGACAAAAAGGATATGGAGGGATCCTATTGGTTGAAGCGGGTGGTTGCGATGGACAAAAAATCATTTGATCAATTTGAATTCATAGGGTGGCTGCTCTTTTGGGCCCTGAAAACGGCATGTCGTCCATGACCTACTCTCGAAATTACCGACATGTCCTTACTCTCCCCATTTAGGTACTCTAGGTTGGGCCGACGATATTTGAAAGGCAACAGCCAACACAATCACTCCAATGAGTCTCTTTAAGGTGAATCTTCAGCTGTAGTTCCGAAAAAATCCACCACGTCGCGCTGCTAAAATCCGACTCCGAAATCAGTTATTATTTAAATATCATAATAGATATTCTAAATTCTAAGACTCATGAGTTCTAGCAGCATACGTCTGGAATCTTTTGAAACAAACGCAAACTTTGAAAGTTTAATAATAAAAGCTATAACTTGATCCCAGTTTCTCCTTCGGGATATCCGTAAGGGCAGATATCCGAGAGAGACAGTTCACAGTGGGAGAGAGATATCTGCCACTGCTGAGAGCAATCAATCGCGATTGGTTGCATCAAGGTCATCATGCTTAACCCTACTTTTTTCTGGGATCAATTAGTTTCAGAGTTTCAGAAATTACTTTTCACGTCGTTTTTAGTGTCAATAGGAAGAAGAATGGGTTTCAGGACATTCCGTCGACGATTTTTTGTCCGCGCACCTGTCTTGTCCAGTAGTTTACGTCCACGCGTAAAATAAGCAGCAGTGACTTCGACATCTTTTCAAATTGTCATTGGTGAATATTTGGTTTTATTTCTATCGTTAAAATTTTCAATATAAAAAATATCTAGTATATACCTTTTTCCTTTCTATTTTCAACAAAAATAATACTTCATTTTAAAAATATTTACATTTTTAAAACGTGGCAAACATTTGTAAAACCTTTTGCAAGCGATTTTCAACCCATCTCAATGAGCCGTAGTTTTGTTGAAGGAAACTATACAAAAATTAATAAAAGAGGGGAAAAAACCAAGAGGCACACAATCTTTGGTTTTAACCCATTCGTACATCGATATTTTAGAATAAAATACGTCCAATGTTAAGCGTTTGGTTTCGCGTAGACCACCTTACAGCACAGCAGAAGCACAAAATATAAAGAAAAAAATTGAAGTGCTTTGGAAACCATTAAATTTGACATGAAATCACCTTAATAATTACGAAAAACACAACCAATTTATTTACACTAATACATATTTTTTCCCCTTCAATTTAAAGAGAATAAGCCGCGCAGAGTGAGCAAACACCTCAAAATCATGAGTTGAAAAATGCTGACTCCGCGAGCTGCCAATGCGTGTGTCACGCTGGTCGCCCTCGCCCGCCGCGGCGCGGCGCTTCAAGCAACTATTTCACAACAGAGGTGTTGCGCAGTATCATACACATTGAAGGCACTCCAACGTATGAAGAATGACAGGCATCCTTCAAGAGTTCGGAGCTTTCCTCGCAAAATAAATCAAGATACTTCAGCACAAAAAGAGAGCAGTGGTCTAAAAACTCACCAAGTCCTAGCATCCATATTTAATAACGTTTAGCATAATTTTTGTAATTCATTAGAGAAAAAAGTGACTCAATTTAACCAGAAACATTCTTGAGTATGCCGTCAAGAAGATTTTATTTTGAATCAATAATAAAATAGCTGAATGAAAGCAGGTTCCTGCTTGATGTAAGTGATTTTTCTTTTTATGTAAGCAGCGTTTCTTTTAAACAAGCATTATTTTCTTTGTTGATTCATAAGAAAATCTTCTCGGCGGTAAATTTGAGCATATGTCTGCTTGAATCAAGTCACTTATTCCTCCAATGAAGTTCAAAAATCACGCTGAACGTTATTAAATACAACCACTAGGACTTAGTAAGTTTTTCAACTACCGCTCTCTCTTTGAGACCGTCGTCACTCGATTTAATTTGCGGGGGAGTGGAGATGATGCATGTGTGAGGGATTTGCGATTTGACTGCTGTTTCTTATGTAAAAGTTTGCGAGAAACACGATGGTGCCACTGGTTTTCTCTGAAATCAACTCCCAAGCTCAAAAAAAGCTCTCAAAGTGAGGCCAAAATGGAGGGGATATCCCGCCCTACCCTGAGAGTCCACCTCTACATCAAGACAAATTCTCTATGCAAAGATAGGAAGCAAATACATTGGCAGGGTTGCCGTGTTTTCAGTTTTGGAGTCCCCAAATGAAGTGGCAGCCCTGTCAATGCATTTGCTCCCTATCTTTGCATGGAGAATTTGTCTTGATGTAGAGGTGGACTCTCAGGGTAGGGTGGGATATCCTCTCCATTTTGGCCTCAACTTGAGAGCTTTTTTTGAGCTTGGGAGTTGATTTCAGAGAGAACCAGTGGCACCATCGTGTTTCTCGCAAACTTTTACATAAGAAACAACAGTCAAATCGCAAATCCCTCACACATGCAACATCTCCATTTCATGCTTTTGAGAGATACCAACAATCATGATACAATGGGGTGCCTTCAATCTCTAATGATATTGTGCAGCACCTCCGTGGCGAAATAGTATACTCGAAGCGCCACCGAGGCACGCCGGCGCCGTCGCGAAGTTATCGTACACAGGACATCTAAGAGCCTTTAGCTGAGGTGAATCAAAGGGTTTATCCGATTCAGGTGTAACAAGGGACTTTCTTGAAAGATATTTAGGTCCTGTTATACCAAAGAGGTGTAGAGAGCTTTGGTGAATTTTCCCTCATGGGATTGACGCTCCCCCATTTTTACCAAAAATCTCAATAATATATTTTCGCCGTTGGACCAAATATAAACAAACCAAAAAAAAAAAAAAAACAAAAACTAGCAAATCCTCATTCTCTCAGAAGACATTTTACATTTTCATCCAAAATGTTGTAAGCAATTGTCATTTATATTTACATGCGGACCAATTAACTTTGGGTCTCAATTGGTAGGTGGCCCAAAGCTCCCCTGCCGAAAAAACGCAAAAAACCGAAAAATAAGTGCGCGGACAAGAAATCGTTGACGAAATGTCCTATAACCAGAAGAATGTTATGGCTAGAACTTATGACTCTTCGATTTAAACAGAAATTCCTTCAACTTTCATAAAAGCTCAAGGACTCACGGGGAGCTGTACGGACTCTAATAGCGTGGACCAAAAAATCAAAACACAGCGGTGGCGGCCCCTGCGCGGAGAAATTTCTTACTTCACGGAGCTGTAGATAAACCTCAAAGCCTCCAGTTTTAATGTGGAGAGGAGTAATTAGATTGTTAGTGTAGGGCATTGAAAATATATTCTTTCTGGTGGCCATTCATGGGAAAAGGCACTCAAGGTGTTCATGGCTGCTTCTTGACCGGAGAAATTATATTTTAGAAACCCCGCACTGCTATCTTCGGTGTGGAGTAAAAGTTACTTTCGGGGGTCAACACTCAGATTTGCCTGATGATCACAATCAATGATGACTTGAGAGTTGAGTAATTTGTTGAACAATCCTAACCAACATTTCAAAAACTCCGTGGTGCTTAAAATATCTACAATGCGGTGATTTCTAAGAGAAAATGATTTTTGAGAGGGAAGAGAAGCAGAGTAAAGTTTGTAATGAGGCTGAAAATCCAAAGAAATATGAGGTTGCGTCGGAAACACGAAACGCGCTAGGTCGAGACGCATTACCGAAAATCTCTTGCGTCCCACGTTATAGGGACCGTTCAAGTATAACGTAACGCACTTAAGGAGAAAGGGGGAGGGGAGGGGGTCAAGTCCATCGTTACGTAACAAATATGAGCCGGAGGGGAAAAAATTTGAATAAAACGTGCAGAAAAGTGAAAATCTCGCCCTTCCCGAATGAATTTTTTGAAAATGGGGGGAGGGGCTCAGGCCAGCGTTACGTAATTCAAAAGGGAGGGGGGAAAAGGGGTAAAAAAATCGGAAAAAGTGCGTTACGTAACATTTGAATCTCCCCTTATTTGTCGACTCAGGGCGAAGGCCAAAGACCCAAAAGGAGGCAGACAGTGGCGTGGCGTGCTTTGCGATATATCGATCGATACGCCACTCAAACCTATGAAAAAAGATCGATTATTAGGGTGTTCGCAGCGAACACCTTAGTAATCGATTCTTTACCATAGCTTCAAATGGCGATAAATCGATAATCGATCATTCACGCCACGCCACTGGAGGCAGAGACACATTAAAGATCAGATTACCTTTTTATGGATCTTCAATTCAAACTCTTTTTATTTTCATGACAGAAACTAATTTGCAGGCATGCAAAATGTTAAAGAGACAAGCTAACCCTGACTATCAGCATGCATTTTGTTAAATAGTAAATCTCCGACCAGATCGTTCTTTCCTTACTAGGTCACGAATGTTGTGCTGAGGAAAACCCAAGTAAAAATCAATGCGTTTCTCGGAAAATTGACAATGTCGCGATAAAAGTTGGTAAAAGTGTACTCTATCGGCACGATAGGCAATGCTGACATTAAGTTAGGGTGCAAATGAAACAAGCAAAGCAACGTCAGTTAGTGTCAAATGCGGCGAGCATTGAACGAATATTATTATAACGCCTAGGTGCAACTATTCGGGCTGTATGGATGTCCGTGTTGCATAAGCACGAGAGTGAAGGCGTTTGATTCTTCAGGCACACACCGCTTCACTTGCAGTGCGGACGTGGTCTATACTGTGAGGACCCATTTGACAGAACTCCTTCAGTGGCGTGGCGTGAATTGCGATGTATCGATTGTTATGCCGTTTAAACCTATGGAGAAGGATCGATAAACAGGGTGTTCGGAGCGATCACCTTAATAATCGATTTTTTACCATATGTTTAAATGGCATAACAATCGATACATCGCAATTCACGCCACGCCACTGAGCTCCTTCAATTCTCCGTTTAAGCTACAAAGACATCTCCTAAGCATGAATAGTTGCTCTACACATTTACAACTAAATATGTCGCAGGCTGATGTGATTTAGTTCCTTCTTGCCTAACTTGAATGTGATAATACTGCAGTCATTAGGTGTTGCCTATCATGCTTTTCGCAAAAGTCCATGAATTACATACGAGGTTTTACCCGATTTCGTTTACTATCTTTTCCCCTTTACTTAACAACTGTAGCCATTCCCTAAGATTTGGCTAAAACGACACCCTAAAAGATACGTCCAGACTCTTCCCCCTCCTTCCCAAATTTCTTGATTTTATACCTAATATAAAAATGACGCTTTAAAGATGTTTTTAAAAATACCTCTAAAAACAGACTTAACTTGCTTCACAGCTGTTTTTTTTTTTTTTTTTTTTTTTTTTTTTTTTTTTTTTTTTTTTTTTTTTTNTTTTTTTTTTTTTTTTTAACAGAGGAAATTTAAATATTTTAAAAACGACTTTGAAAACTTTTAAGGATATAAAGTGGGGTGACATGTTTACGTTTCCAATATGTTTTAATCATTTCAAAAGCAGCAACTTGAGTGCTACACTCCCTGACCGCTTCGCGGCCCAACCCGCGTATATTATCGAGTAAGATTTTAAAATGTTTAAAGGTCACTAAAATGCATTGCTAGTTTTACGATTTTTTTTTAAAAATAATTTTGGAAACATTCCTGAAAAGTTGTAAGAAAATATTCAGGAATTAAAATTTTAAAACTAGATTTTTCTCTTCTTTTATTTTATTTTTTTTTTTTTTAAAAAAAAAAAAAAAACATGTTTGATATATTATTATTCATCATTTTGAGAGCGAAACAGAACACATTTTCCAAAGCCGAAGTTGTTTTCTAAAATTTCTTGAAATTTAATTTTAAATTATTTCCTACAAATCGACGGTGAAACTAGCAGATTACGGGTCTCGGTTTGCGACGTTGCAGACTTCCTATCACACTTCATTTTTTAAATGGCAAACTACTCAAAGTCAATCCTTGAGAACTTCGGCGATTTTTCTTCTCTGTGCGAATAAAACTCTGTGAAAGTTTCAAGAAATGATATTGATTAGTTCTCCTTCAAAAAAATAAAAAGGGAGCGGAGATTTTAAAACACCGTAAACGAGATCCGTGGTAGGGGCGGATCTAGCAATATCAAAAATTCTTACAAATTCATACGAAGCAGTGTGTTGGGGACTTAATTCAAAATACGCAAATTTTAATTACGCCGATCAGAAGAAATTTGGCAACACTAAATTATCCATAAGCTGATTATTTTGCCAGCATGACAGCATATAGTGTACTCATAGAGAGCCTAGAAAGTTCTTTGATCGAAGTTGTAGAAACAGTGTGTACAACCTCAGGATTGGAGCGCCTTCAATTCGAGTGATACTTCTAGCTTTGCCGGAGAGTTAGTTTAGTTGCGTGACCTAACTTAACCCAATCTGACTCTGTTGCGATCGGTTTCCGAGCTTCGGTCTGGTAGTTTCATCGTCGATATGTGTTTCTTACGGACTGAATGAGACTTTATTAACGAAATATTTTTTTTTGTGTGCTATCAGGGATGAAAAGCTCCTCTCTAAATGAGAAAGGCGGAGTGGAAAACCTGAGGAAAGAAAAATAGGAAAGATGCGACACGGGTAAACAGAGCTCACGTAAAATAAAACTTAAACGAAACAGAAACTGAAACCAATAGAAAGAAAATCAAAACTGTAAAAAATAAAAATACGAAGCTGAAATAGATGATGATGAAAAACGAGACGACACAAAAAGAAACGACAACATGGAAAAATAATGAGATGCTTGCATTATCTGAGTTTCGCGGCCTCGTGTACTGTTGCATATGGCTGCTACATTGACTGCTAACTTTTTCCTTCGGTTGGTATATCAAAAAATTTTTGAGCCCCTGCACCTGCAATAAAAACAAAAAACCAACGTTGTCATGCACGTTTACCATTTCGGGCTTTCTAGCATGCTACTGTAGAGACACTATAAAAAGAGGAGAACCTGTTGAATCCTATTTTTAAACTGTGTGATTTTGTAACTGTGTGAGTTTGTAATCGTGTGTATTTTGGCTGAAAAAGTGAAATTTTTCAGTCCTCCCTTAAATTAGATACACCCAAAAAGAGGTATACTATTGTTAAGTACTAAAATTGAATTTTATTGATCTTTAAATTTCAAAACACTGTGTTTAGATTAGAGACAAATCACCGCGTGTGCGAATTGGAGAATTTCTTATAGTGTTACTTTTATGCTTTAGATCAATAAAGTCCTTTGCTGTCAAGAATTGCAATTTAGTTTGCAATAAGATTGCCAACATTTAAAGCCTGACACGATGTATTTGTACAGAGAACAAGAACAACCAATCCACAGAATTTACATTGCGTTGAATAAAATCAGAGGCGGATCCAGCAATTTGGCAACACCGGATTTTCTCCATTTAAAGCTATGTTAAATAATCGATTCTTGTCGGAGCACTTGCCTTCTCTAAGAATCGATCCATTTCCAGGGGTTTAAATGGAGAAAAGCAACGTTGCCAATTTTCTAGATCCGCCAATGAATAAAATGCAGCCCAAATACTACCTCTGGCGCTGTGGATACTGATTGATATCGAAAATCTCGAGAAACCGCTATTAATGATCGAGCAAACTTTGCTGCGGGAATATGGATGCGTTAGACTAAAAGAAACTACGGTGCGCTCAAGATGACAAAATAGTGCATCTAATGATGAGAAATCAGAGATGAATGAGGCAGTGGCGTGGCGTGTTTTGCGATATATCGATTGATCTGCCATTTAAACCTACAGAAAATGATCGATCAACAGGGTATTCGCAACGAACTCCTTAATATTCGATTCTTTGCCGTAGCTTCAAATGGAGAAAAATCGATAATCGATCATTTACGTCTAGCCACCGGAATGAAGGGAACTAACGAGTTCATGCCGAGCTATAAATTCTGAGCAAGCACTCATTCTAATTTTTAGATGACTCGATGGATGGTGAAAGTCACTGATTCTAACAAATTGTCGCCCCTATGACGTAAAGGCGTCTCTCGGGTTTTACATGATCCACGAAAAGCACAGAGTTATACAGCCAGCAGGGCTCATGATGGATTTGAGATGCGTCCTTGCGTCAGAGGGACGACAAAATAAGTCAGTGAAGCACTGTCGCTGTCGCTGGTTGCATGACAAACCCATTTTCTTTTCAGAGCCATTTTGGGTTAATTTGAGTGCGGGTAAGTACTATTCAAACTTCAATACGAGCACGGTTTTACTTCCCGATTTCGTTTAATCGAAAGTTATGATAAAAAACTCATTGACCAGCATTTTCAGGCGTAGAAGCCAAAACTCCTGGTCTCATGAACCGAATTTGTGCCGAGGTCACTTCGTTAGGGCAAAAAAGTCGCGCTTTATGAATCATAAGCTCCTTTCTTCGTCGCTTGCTTGTATTTCATCTTTAGCGGATCAAGCAAATTGGAAACATCGTTTTCCTCCATTTAAAGCTATGGAAATGTATCGAATCTTGGAGGAGCCAAATGCTCTGACAGAATCGATTATTTAATGTAGGTTTAAACGGAGGGAATCCGGTGTTGCCAAATTGCTGGATCCGCCTCTGTACTTTATTTGCCTCTAAGTGAACCCTTTCTTGACTTTCTTCATAGTTACTAATAAATTAGGCCAGTATTCATATTTATCTACAAAACTGCTCCTTCCCTAAATGAGAATCATAAGTTTTTAAATTGTGATTTTACTCCTCAGGAGGATTTCATAACATCATAAGAAAAATGACAACTTTTACGAGCCTCTGGCAAAATTCCACAGAATTATTTTGAAAACGGTTCATTTGAAGATTTTGGACTCGGAAATTTTAAGATTTCTCATCAGATACTGTTGGATTTGTTAAAATCATAGAATTTTCACAAAATCAATCCAAAGCCCTGTAAAGGTTAGCGAATAAAATTGATATAAACCACCACGTAATCTACTCACCTGGTACTTTCAGAAAGCTTTTCTGGTACTCTCCAGAATGTCAAATAAAAAACACATGCTTTAGTGACCCAAAGTGTGACGCGTCATTCTGCTGTACTAAGGAAAAACGCCGTATGAGGCTTCAGGCGTTGTCATATTGCCTTCAATAAAAAAATTTACGATAAAAAGGTTCAATAATATTCCTCCAATTTTTCAGACAGTTTCGTTCGCAATTTTATCGTAAACATCAGGAAATTCCAAGGGAAAATATGCATAACTTTCCGCAAAAATAAACATTTAACGGAAGGAAATTTGGCAACTCTGAATGTTCATACGGCGTTTTTCCTTAACACGATTGATACGATGCCAATTAAGTCTCTCTATGGATTGGAGCAGTTTAGGCGACAGCTATGAAACCGACCTTAAATGTAATTTGTTGGTAGACTTACTTGTATGTGTCTTTGATTAAGGCTGGCGACACTTGTGTGTTTGGTTGCCTGGTGGTCGTCTCCACCAACCCCTGAGACATGAGCCTCGACTCCTTTCTTCTGATCCGCTTGTAACTTCTGGATCGCCATAAATCTATTCTTTCGCATTTGTATCCTCTTTGCCATATAACCTACCGTCGCATACTCTGCAACACAAAACCGAAGTCTCGATCATCAGGCTCCAAAAATACTGGAACCAGTGGCGTGGCATGCTTTGCGATGTATCGATTGATCTGTCATATAAACTCATGGAAAAGGATCGATAAACAGGGTGTCCGCAACGAACACCTGAATAATCGATTCTTTACCATAGCTTCAAATGGGTAAATATCGATAATCGATTATTCACGCCTCTCCACTGACTAAAACACTAGCGACACGAGAGGAAATCGATGAGAGAACAGCGGAATACCACGTAGGGTGATTCGATGGACGCTATATTGTGTGTCAGAACGATATGCAATATATCGCATCGATTAGTTTCATTTTTTCACCTTTTCGCCATATCGTTCTCTAATTTTGAGGTCCCAATTCTATTGTCAGGAGACTAAAGAATTCACTTACCAATTTTGACCAAAAAATTTAACATAATAAAGGCGTCGTTTTTTAGAGGAAAAATATAGCATTCGATAATGATATCGAAATTGCACTCGAATGCCATATCTTTCCGCTTAAAAAACCACGCCTTTATTACGTTGAATTTATGTGTCAAAATTGGTGAGTGAATTCTTTAGTCTCCTGACAACAGAATTGCGATCTCCAAATTCGAGAAAATGACGAGTAGCTCAAAAAATGGAGCCGATCGATGCGATATATCGCACGTCGTTCTGACGTAAAATATAGCGTCCATCGAATCAAGTTAACTTCACTCCAAGGTTGCAACACTGACTCAAACAATTTGATTTTTTTCCAGGCAACCTAGGCAACTTTCGTCCGAATTTTTTGTTGATTTTTGCATGGGATCAGGAAAAATTGGGAAAAATTGGTGACATTTTCAGTGGGATACGCCCGAGACTTTCCTCGTAAGAATTTAATATGTGGGGTAGAGTTTGGCAACACTGAAATAAAGTTACGTTCTTTCGTTAGAGGAACGACGAATTTTGTAAAACCGCGTATGAGCCAGGTGCGCTGGTTACAGAAAAGGTCGTCAATTTCCCCAGCAGTAATTTTACAGTCAGCCCTGTTCTTCCACCGAAATCCTAATTAAGTCAAGATTTCTTCAATTGCAATAAATCAATGATAGACGTTAGTGAAGATTTTTAATGAATTTTCTCCACTTTACGAGCTGCACAATTCAAAAAAATTATCACGCATCAAAATTTCAAATTTTTCTTGAGCAATTTCATTCTCTCGCCCTCCTGTGCGTTTCAGTCTTCAATTTACATTAAAAAAATCAAGGAAAGTCGTCTTAAGAAAAGAATAGTCTATTTCAGAAGAATCAAGATTTTCTCAAATAATTACTTTTTAAAAACCTGCTTATCAATTACCGACTTATCTCAATTTTAAATCAAAAAGAAAAATGGAAAAACCTTGTTTTTTCCTTGTTAAGCATTATCTGATTTGAAATACATGTAATATTACAATGTTTCCTGAAAGAAAGAATACAATATGGTGACACTAAATTTTATCTGGAAAAAGAGGGGGGCTACGAGGAGTTAAAAGATGAAAATTTGGGAAATACGGGGGAAATTCAATGGAAGAGGCGTCGAATGGGTATTGAGCGATCCAGCAGGAACATGCATGAATACTAAGATGTCAATAAAGGAAAGGAATCGCGTATGACATAATTCGAGGTAAAAGCAGTGGCTTGGCGCACATTGCGATATATCGATTGTTATGCCATTTAAACCTATGAAAAACTATCTATAAGGAGGGTGTTCGCAGCGAAAACCTTAATAATCGATTCTTTAGCATAGGTTTAAATGGCATAGCAATCGATACATCGCAATTCACGCCACGCCACTGGGTAAAAGCACTCATTGCCGACTGTGCATTTTGTTGGTTGCGCACTAAATTTTCAAGCTAGCGGTAAAACTACAGGCGTGACAAAGCAATGCATATGTAACGTTAGTTTTTTTTTTTTTTTTTTTTTTTTTTTTTTTTTTTTTTTTTTCGACACTGGCACTTGCTCTCTCTTTATTGCCATTTACTCTGATGAGAAGACCAAAGTTAGTGGTAAATAATACATTTAATATGTGGCGGCGAAAGATGAGCGGCCCCGATGCGCACACTTTACTTTTGAATTAGCTTAAACATCGAACATACTTTCCCGAATTAAAAGAGGCCACGATTAGTTTCAAGCGAAAGTGTAATTAAAAATTATAGTCTGAAAAAAGGCTGGGTTTTGTTCGTTCGTGAAATAAACAGTTCCTGGGACCTTGGTATAATTGCAATGCATTTATTTCTTTACTTTAATCACATTCCATCTAATCAGGGACTGACTCATTTGAAGTGTACGCAGTAGAGTTATAAAAAATGCTGCGTTGCATTACAAATAAAAAGAGAGAAAATTTCGAGGCAAAAACTTTAGACACACTTATATTCGAAGTTCAGGAATTTTAAAACTCACGGAAAAAATAACAAATCGGAAATGAAGAACAAAAAAAATATCCCAACATTGGCGGGACGTTTGATTTTTCTTTAACCGGATTTGGACGAATTTCTTGCTAAAGCGATGCTATTGTACAAAAGCGAGTGTTGAGATTAATGACCCTGATTGTAAGCTTCAGGCAGATATTTTGCTTTGCTTTTATTTTATACCTTTCACAAATAAAGCTTGAGAGTAAAATTATTTGTAGTCAAAGGCAAAGTGCGTAATGGCTAAACCAAAATGTTCAAGAACGCTAGTTCACAAATTCCTAAAAATCCAGATAAGTTACCGGTTTCATCTGCGGCGTGGCGTGCTTTGCGATTTATCGATTGATCTGCCATTTAAACCTATAAAAAAAATCGATAGAAAGGGTGTTTGCATAGGACACCTTAATAATCGATTCTCCACCGTAGCTTTAAATGGGAAAATATCGATAATCGATCATTCACGCCTAGCCGCTGGGTTTTTATCAAGCAAGAAGCTTAAAGCTGTCCAATTATTAATGATGAAGTACAGAAAAACTGTGTAACACAAAACATGACACACACCACACTTAAGTATTGTATAAAATGGAATGTGACTTCGTAGGTTTGACGACTTAAAGGTGAATCTACCCCGCTAGGTCCAGTAACAAACTCCTGTTAGGTGCTGCGCTGCTATGATCCAAGGTTGGTTTTGTGACAAAATTTGCATAATAAGGACTGAACTCCAAGGGAAGAACTGACGCTTATCAATGCAACATGGCAACTATTCTAGGATCCAAATCCGAAGTGAGGGATCATTTTATTATTTTGAAAAATTCATATCATATTTGCACTAAAGAGTGTTCTAGTAGCGCAGCAGGATACCTCAAGGTGAGTCAAATAAAAAACGAGCTAAAAAAATACATACTAAAAACTGGAAATCGAACACGACCTTTGTTTATCCGGTGACGACTCTCTCAAGTTGGCAGCTTTGAGTTTCCCCCATTTCAATCTATGTAAAACAATCGATGCCTCTCGTAGCAAGCTGCTTCGCCTGAAATCGATTATTTATAACGGACTCATATTCAGAGAAAAAAAGCGTTACCAACTTTCGAGATTCGCCACAAGCCTAAGGGACTGCATGTACGCAATGAGGTAGCTTCAACTGTTGAGAGAGGTTGAACATGATTGGTCGGTTCAAGTCGTTCCGTACGACCCTAAGTCTTCTCTTCGTCTTTTTTTAACTTAATTTTTAAATTACATTATTTTTGAATTCGATTTCTGGAACTTCGGAAATAACTATTACACTTCATCTCCTCGCTAGTAAAAATGCTTGCGTGGTACGATCTTCAAGGAAAAATTATTATCCTCTATTAATCCCTATTATCTCGAAAACGACGAGCCATAGCAAAAAAAAACGCTAGATACATTTTCTTAATATTATTCAACGCTAAATCTAGTGGTTTCGTCAAAAATCAATTTTTGTCGCCAGAAACATTAATTTTGGCCGATTTTACGTTCGATAATCCCCCTCTCCAAAGCCTCTCTCAAAATTAGTTTTTCCTTTTTTGGAGGTCAAAAATGAAAAGAGCGCTAAACATGAACCCCAGTTACCAAGTTTCATAAATATTGGAGGATAAACATTGTCACAGTGTTAAAAAGACGATTTTTTGTCTCCAACTTTGGGGGCCGTCGCCCCAAGGAAATCGTTTTAGGTAACGAAGTTCTACTACAAAAACGTCTTTTTTTGACCCAAAGAATTGACTCCTTCAATATTCGTACTAGGACCTGGGACACCCTGTGTATTGTTACAGAAAAGTCGAACACTGAAAAAATAAAATGCTGTTTTAGCACCTCGAATGTCAAAAATGTGTCTGGTGTTCCCAAGATGCTGCCTTCACTGCCCTTTCAGTAAACTTTACATCCTATGAATGCAAATTCAACTGCGTGGGCAATCAAGGCAGCATTTTAGGGTCACCAGACACATTTTTGACGTCCTAGATGCTAAAACGGCATGCCATTTTTTTCAGTGAAAAAAAAAACCTTAGCGATGGCGCGCCCTATGCGGAAATTTTTGAACAACGACCCGCGGTAGATACATACATATACATATGAGTCGCTTTTACAGCGCTCTTTGGCGCTTTACGACGCCTAATCGCCACAAAGCTCGGTCTTCCCACAGGTCATCAGGGAGTTGACACTCCCTCATCTCACTCAACACCCCCTGTCGCCAACCTCTCACTGGGCGTCCCCTACGTCTCCTCCCAGGAGGAACCCAATCAAGCATCTTTTTTGGCAGCCTCTCTTCAGTCATCCTATTGACATGACCATACCAAGCAAGTTGTTTGGTCATGACGTCGAACACGATGTCATTTTCGACTTCCATTATCTGACGCACTCTATCATTACGGACCCGCGGTAGATTCACCTTAAAAAGGCATGTATGATTGTGTGGATTGTGGGGAGTGGGAGCGGGTGAGGGTGTGGCGGTCGAGGTGGAGAGACGGGTGTGGTAGCATGCAGAGATCGGAGTCGGGCGGGACGTACCTAGGAGCGAGGCAAAGACCATGACGAAGCAGGTGCCGAGGTAAACGTCGATGGACTTGACGTAGGAGATCTTGGGGAGGGCGGCGTTGGTGGAGGACATGAGCGTGGTCATGGTGAGCACGGTGGTGACGCCGAGGGCGACCCGGGCCGGCGTCGCGTTCCGGTTGAGCCAGAAACTCACCCACGAAATGATGACGATGAGCCCCGAGGGGATGTAAATTTGAATGAGGTAGTAGCCCATGGAGCGCACGAACTGGATCTCGCACGCCAGTCTCGAGTAGTTGCCTAGAAAAGGGCCACCGGCCGTCAACGATTAGCCACTGCAGTAGGGACGCATCGCGTCGTCGCGCAGCGATAGTGCCACAGCAGGAACACTATCGCAGACTCTGTCTTTGAGACAACTGCTCGGCGGAGGCGCTGTTTCAGAGACTCTACTAGAGTCCCTTTATACTGAGAGTAGAGTCCCTTTATACTGAGAGTCAAGACAACACCCCTCATGGAGTCACAAACGGGAATAAAGATTACACAAATTGAACGTTTTTCGTAATCTTTGATCGGCTCATTCTTAAATTCCTTTCTCCGTTCCTTCTCTCATTCCGTTTGTTCCTTGTCGATCCCGAGATTCCCCGGTCCATTCCAGATTATAATCTTTGCAATTGGTGAAAATGTAATCTTTATTCCCGTTTGTGACACTGTGAAGGCCTAAAATCCGGTCAACCAATCAGAAATGGATTCGCATGTCTTGACTCTCAGTATAAAGGGACTCTAACTGAGAGTCGAGACAATGTGAATCCATTTCTGATTGGTTCCCGTATTTTAGGCCTTCACAGTGTCACAAACGGGAATAAAGATTACATTTTTGCCGATTGCAAAGATTATAATCTGGAATGGACCAGGGAATTATGGGTTCGGCAAGGAGCAAACGGAATGAGAGAAGGAACGGAGAGAGGAATTTGAGAATGGGCCGATCAAAGAATACGAAAAACGTTCAATTTCTGTAATCTTTATTCCCGTTTTTGATTCCATGAGGGGGTGTTGTCTTGACTCTCAGTATAAAGGGGCTCTAGACTCTACCAGAGAGACATGCCACACCAGTAACTCTGTAACTCTGAAGACACTGCAACGCTGGTAATACTGCTGAATCTTTGTCGTATTTGAGACGTTGCAGTGAAGCCATTGTTGCAGAGATACCACCGCAGCAAAAGAGACTCTATCAGAGTGACATGCCACACCAGTAACTCTGTAACTTCATAGACACTGCAACGCAGGTAATGTTGCAGAATCTTCATCGGATTCTGAGACAAGAGACCCTCCACTGGCCTCTTCGGGGCAGGTGGAAGCTTTTAATTTCGGGGATTCGGCAATTCCTTATGGACGATTTTAAGGGAGCAACAGTCATCACTCTTATTTCGGCAATTGACCTACTTACATGGTGGATGATGAGCCACGGGTGACATCTTGAGCCAAACAAGTTTCCCAAACTTTGGTAAGTTTGCAAAACGAAACTGCCGACTCGTTGTTGAACATCAACCATGTAGGTAAGTTAGCAGTGGAATGCTGAAGTCCCGAAAATAAAAGCTTCCACCATTGCTAAGATACCAGTGAAGGGTTTCTTGTCGCTGGTCGTATTTGAGACGTTGCAGTGAAGTCAATGTTGCGGAGATACTGCCGCAGCAAAGGCAGTGTCGTGGGCAGAATATAATTAGACGCAGCGCCGCCGACATAAAGCACACAATCAACCACACTTGCAGCACACAGTCATCGACACATCCCGACCAATACAAAATACCCCTTAGAGTCCACGCCAAATATGTTTACGCAATTTTGACGTCAGACTATGTTCTGTCGCAGTCTATAAATGCGTAAACTTACATGGAGAGGACTCTCGTGAAATGCAGTTATGTTTTTTTGAGAGCGACTGAGCGAAATCGAGGAGGGTAGAGATCAGGTGGAAAATTTGAGCAAAGACGAGGAATCGGAGTTTTAATCATTTGTCAATTTTCTCTCGTCAAGGCCCGATTTTGGCCATTGGCGGATCCAGCAAACTGGCAACACTGTTTTTCTCCATTTAAACCTATGGAAATGTATCGATTCTTGGAGGGGCCAAGTGCCCCGATAAGAATCGATTATTTAGCATAGATTTAAATGGAAGGAATCCGTTGTTGCCAAATTGCTGGATCCGCCCCTGATTTTGGCTGCCTCGATTATCTTCAATTGCTCTAAGAAAACAATTTTTCACAAAACCATCAAACATTTCAAAAACTCAGACCTCTGCCACTTCATTGAGCGGTATTAATTAGGCAACAACAGCTGATCTCGTAAATTCGACTTAACCTTGCGCACAACAACACGTACCTTCGCCTAATGATGGCTGACCGATGGAGGCTGGAAGAGAAGATATGTATTCTTGGAGTTTAAACAAGTAACAGAGCAAAATACCTCTTCTAACATCCATCAGTCATCAAAAGGTGAAGTAAATAAAAACGCAAGGAAAAGCTAAATTTTTGGAAGGGACCTTTGTGTCATCTGTTTACGAGGCTTGGATAACCAGTGAGAGGTCATCAAGATATTTTGATCGTGACTGTAAATCTAGTGCCACGATTAAGGCGATAATATAAAGCTCAATGACTTCTTTGACATCCTCATGAGCCTCGTCTATCCGGAAGAAAGCCTCAAAGGTTTCTGACGCGGGATCAGTGAAATGATAACCCAGGTTCCCTCTGATTCAAATCTGAGGCAAATGTGTGCAAGAGAATGGTTTCACGATGATTTTTCATCTGGCAATAAGCGATTAGTCTGAGAACAATATCCAATCCAAAAGATGACCGGGCGATTCTCGAGAACAGGCTTCTCCCCATGTCGATACCTACACATGATATATGGTTCACGTGATGCATCGATGGAGGATTAGAATATTTCTAAAATAGACCGAGCAACGAGATTTTTTTATAAAGAAAAATCAGAAAAATCATAAAATTCACACTGATCCATTTTTGTGTTACCTACTAACATCCATTTGCCAAGATTTTGCTTGCTGCCGCAAATTATGTAAGGAACATTGGGCACTTAAAATGATTTGCGACAAAAACCTGCCTCTAGGCCATACTTCAAAAATGAAAGAGACCTAGCTTACGCGCCAGAAGAATTTATAGAACAAAATTTGATTGACGGTGATAAATTACGATATCTTTTTGGTATTTTCGCCACCAATTTGGCTACCATGAAGTGTCCATCACGAAAAATCAAATTTTTCGGTCACTAGAAGTATGTTCCGTGGTCCTTGATAACACTTTTTAACGTTCAAATTTGCGTTTAAGAAGGATGGTAAAATTAACCGAACTTAGAAAAATTTCAAAGATGGTAGAAGAAGTTGCTTGATATGCAATGCTGTTGACAAGTCTTCAAGACATGTCTATGGACACCAAGAAAAATATGAATCCGAAACATCAGGCCATGTACCTAATTGTATCTCGCACATTATGGCCGCTTATCTGGAACTATAAACATTTTTAAAAGTCTGCATGTAAAAAAAAAGTTTGCTGGTACTCCGTTGTTTTTGTAGAGAAACATTCATTGAGAAAATATAAGTTTTTATTCATTTGAAGGGTTTTCTTCAGGTTTACGGCTTAGTAATACTTTTTCCTTTGAAAACAACAAGGAATCGTAAAATAAAACAATTCATCTATGGATTCAATGCAAGGACTAAAAAAGAAAAAAACTAGTCAAAATTTGATTTCAGAAACGGGGGAAAAATGCAATGAAAATTTAAATGTTTTTACAAGTAACAGTAAAGAGGAGTTCCACCATCCGTCTGGGGAGTTTGTCAGGCGGACTCCAACATCAACACCCAGATTCAAACAAAAAACACAGCCACAATAATATTGCACATAATGCACATAGAACTCAATCGCCACAAGACACACGAAGACGAATGAAAATGGAACCTGAGATGAAAACTGAGCGACCAGACTTAGTTGAAAATAGAATCACGCCGGCGATCACAGTGTTTCTATGACAGCTGAAGTCTCGGTAGAACTTTTCACGTTAATTAAGCACGTGTACAAGGAGAAGAAAAAAGTAAGAGGAACAGAAAGGTTAAAAAGTAAAGATCTGAATGGAGCAGGGAAGATGAACAATATTTTAAATGAGGTAGAAGGATAACCCTCTCCATTAGAAATGAAATTTAGACATTGACAGTTCCACGTTTGTGATAAGTAAATAAAAGTATTATTATTTGAATAACGAGAATCTTTTACGATACCTGAATTTTGAAAAAAAACGGGTTAGTAAATTAAGCATTCATTAAAAAGAAGGTATATCTTTTGGAGTAAAATTATTCAAATTAAGGTACACTGAGGTCTTGGTATGGAGAAGAAATCTAATTTTTGTTTGGAATGTCTTGAGCTGATCATAGTTTTTTTTAATGTGTCTAATGTTACTTATTAGTAACTTGAACTTATTAATTCTACTGATCTGGGTAAAATTGTTAGTACAAAGTCGCGGACTTTTACTGGTAAAAGCTAAATGAATTTCAATTTGTTAGGCATCAATAAAGATGATCGATCAGTGGGCACTTTTCTTTGTTTCGTTCATTCCAAACTCCCGGGAGGCTGATATTTGGGACTTGATCTGAGTGATAATTTTGACGGTTGAGGAAGAACTGCTGAAAGAGATGGAGACCGAGATTTTGGCGGGAGTGACCGAGAAATTTGCTCCGTTCAATGAATATATTTAGAGGAGACAGTGTCTAACTTTTTACTTGCTATGCGGCTAATATGACCAATAAACAAATTCATACATTTTTGGGGCACAAAAAAAGTTCAGTATAATTAATTTTCTTAAGCTTAGTATTTCCCTACAGCTTTCATCATGCAAAAAAGACCGAATCTGTTCGGATCTATTAGGCAGCCAGAATTTTGAATTTTCATCCGTCGGTACCGTTGCATATTAAAATTACCTCGAAATCAAAATTAAAATCCTAGAACCTCCCGGGCGCGATCTAGTAGGAAATCAATTTTAGTTTGCATTGCCATATTTTCCCCCTTTAAAACCATTGTTTAAATTATGAAATGTTCATTTCTCACCCTTTCATTGATTTCTTATATTTGTTGCTTTATCGGTAAAATTTGGCAACCCCGTACCTGCGCAAGTTGCGAGCTTTGTAGCACGTGCCGTCGTTCAATACGGGATCTCGGATTTAAGTTCCCAACTTTTAACACGTGCCCCAGCCTAATCCTGGCCTCTGTTTCCGTTCATCCTTAGTAGCTCCAACTTTGAACTTTCAA